CTTTATGGCTTTAGAAAATTGTGCACCAAGCATGGCCAGCTGGGAGATCAGGGACTGAACGTCAGGTTGACCTGGCCAAAGGTTTCTGGAACATATCTGGGGTTATGTGGCAGCCAGGAGAGCCTCTGTGAAGAGGCACAATTGCCAGTCTAGCACTGTGACCTTTCTCAATTTGTGAATTGATGCCTGCCAGGACCTTGCTCCATCTACAGGACTGCAGTGGTCTGGCATGGGTCTAAATCCAGGGAAATCTGCTAACCAGAGCCCTCTGAGTTCAGGAGATATGTGGTTCAGTCAGATTTCTTTGTTTCCTTGTTCGGTTTTCAGGAAGTTCCTGTTTACAATTAATAAAGCAGAGTGTTGAGAAAAATGTCCAGGTGTAGATATACTAAGCTAGTCAGTAAAAATGAGAGCTCACTGTTAAGAGCTGAAGAAGGCTCTGTACTGTATTGCAGGGAATAAAATGGCAGATGTAATTCAAAGTTGATAAAGGCAAAGGAATGGGGAAAATGTCCCTTAGAGACCACAGAATGGTGGGCTCCAAACTGGCCTCTGCCTCTCATGGAGGATAGTCTGGAGTAACAGCAGGCTGTTCAGTGAAAATGTTGGATGTCTGCTCTAGGAGAAGCTGGTGGAATGCCAGGAATTATTAGGAAAAAAAATAGAAGACTAAGCAGGAATTGTTTGCCCTTGCACAAATTATGTTGCATCAGCATCTGGAGTAGTAGCGGAATGGACAGCAAGGATGTCTAAAACATAGAACAACAAAGGCACAAAATACGTACGTCAAGCAGTTACTCAGCAAGGTTCAACACTTTTCAGCGTATATAAACTCTGTCAGAGTATCCAAATCTCCTAGATGCACAGGTTTCAGGAGTGGCTATGAGTTGCATTTGTTACCAATTCTGCATGTAATGATATTGCATTGTTTTCTTTTGAATTGTTAGTGTCGGACTCATTTGATGAGATGTGGATGTCTACCTCTGACGTCTCTTTGTAATCAACAAAAAGAAATTAGCAGTTCTGAGAAAGAGTCTGTCTCATTCTCACATAAATATCTAAAATACATCTGATAAATTGCATCTGAATAGAATTTACTTCCCCTCATCAGCTATGAAAGGAGTCTAGATTTTCGTGTCCAAAGTTTAATGCAGATTTTTCTTGCTAGATGAGACAACTTGCACCACAAATGTTCACACATTTGCCATCATTAGAATGGATTGCTGCAGTACACCCATCTACAATTCATGTTTGGATGAGACTAATTTGCCCTTAACCTATGTGTATTAAATTAAAATATCTGTAACTAAGTTATCTGTGTAAGGCTCCAGTTCTGTTGGTAGAACTGGAAGCATCTCTGCAAACGTCTTAAGGGGGCAAGTAGCTCATCCTGAAATAAACTTTGGAGATTATTTCAGATGCTGAAGTAAGGTGAAATAAATAAATGCAAAATAAAAAGAAAGAAAATGATACTTCTGGTGCTTAGTGCTAGGACATAAGATGGGAACTCTGTAGTAGTCAGTTCAAAAGTACTGTAGCCAGGTTTTATTTACTAAAATTGGGTTTTGCATAATCTGATATCACGTCTCTGCTTTCAAAAGCATAGTACCTGAAGTGAACTTTAAGGCTGATTATCATCCAGCTAGCTGCAATTTCCAGGTACTGGTGTGCTACCTAGAGTTCAAAGTTTCCTTAGTCTTCCACACATTTGTGGTCTCTAGCACATTTTTCTCTCCCTGGACATGTTGTGCAGCACGTATTTTTGGGGTAGATTCAGGCTAAGATTGTAATTATCCTACATACTTGTGGTCTGGCCTGGTATTATCCATCACAATACCGTCATGTGCTGGGCACTGACAGCACACTTAAAAAGCTATTTTTTATGTGTTATAATTAGCATGTTGGGTAATTTTCTTGTAGCATTAAGGCAAACTTGCCAGCGCTTTCAGCACAAGAGTTCCCAGAAGTTTCTTTATGTAGCAGGGCCGGCTGCCTCGTGCATGCAAGCAGCAAGCAGTCTGAACTGCATGTTCTTTACAGGTCCTTCTTCACTGTATGGGAAGTACAGGCTGAAATACATGATCTGTAAAATATCACAGTGTTACAAAATAATAGCACGGCCTAATCCTTTCACCTCATTTCAGCTTCCCATTCCAGTCCTCAGTCATGGTTTACAAGAGACTGAACTGAAGGTCCACTTGCAACTTCAGCTCCTCAGTGTCAGCTGCAGCATCCCACCTTCAGACTCTCATTTTCTTTAGCAAATGTAGGAGGGTGCTCTCATCTGTTTGTCTAAGTATTGCTATTCTCAATTGTCACTCCTCTTAACTGCTGCTTTTAAAATTGCCTCAATCCTCTAGCAGCTTATCTGTGCTCAGCAGCTCCATGTGGGACACCTGCTCTGCATTTGTTTTTCTTCTCCGGGCTGCGACTCCCTTACTTGATTCTCTTTCAGACAAACATGCCACAGTGCTTAGAGATTACTTGATTTCCACACTTAAAAGGTCTTCTATAGAATCATAATGGTGACCTGCTGGTTGCCTGTAAGATAATGCTTTTCTCAGCTGCTTGAGCATTGTCTGTGTTGTCCAAAGTCCTACCCGGTGGAGTACAAAGAGCAGACGCTGACAAAGCTGAGTATTCACGCTTGTTATGTCCCTAAAGTCACCAGCAGGGAAAAAAAAATTAAATGGAGAGGATTCAAGTAAAACAGTTGAAAATGGAGAGAGGAGGGAAAAATAGGCAGTAAATATAGGGAGCCAAGCAGAACAGCAGGGTGTATGGACAGTTGATTAAAAGCTGATCTTCCATGTTGTTGCCTGTTCCAATTACAGAATTGGGAAATTTCTCCACAGAACCAAATCCAAATTCTTTACTCATGAAATCTCCATTTCTGCACCTGATGAAGGAAAGTGGGTAGCAGTTGTTAGTACCATGCTAGCCTCATCAGTGATCTGCAGAAGTTATCTTGTATCTATCAAGGAGCTACCAGCTCTGCAGGGTCCGTTCTATAAAACCCCTAAAGTCTGTATTTGTCCCCATTTTTTCTTATGTGTTTTCATGTACTTTTTTTTTCTTGTAACCCCCTGTTAGCTGGTTTTTTTCGGCCCTGCCATTTCAGTTTACAAACCCTAGGTATGCTCTGGAAGATCCCATTTTCCAGGCACCTATTTTAGGATGGATTTAGAGCAATGCTGTTAAGTGATATAGAAGCACAGGGCTGCCTCCCCCAGCCGCACTGGCCCGGGACCCTCCTGCCTGTCTCCTGGAGCCCAGCTCGGGGACCCAGGATCTCTGCCCAGGCTGAAGGATGCCTTCCCCTCTGTAGGCTCAACCTGTAGTGAGGCTGAGGATACATCCCAGAGGTACACACACAATTAACAGCCCTTCAGTTAGTGTGAGTGGTGAAATTTGTTTCTTGAAATTGTCTCCATGTTTGCTTTGTCAGGTCTGTGTCTCTGTGTATTTTGTTCCCAGTTTCCCCCTTTTTCCCATAGTTTCCCAACTGACAAAGTCCCCAGTCAGGCAACCTTGCTGGAGTAGATATTCCCTCACTCACATGTGCCCTCACTAGTGAGTGTGACTGACCAGGTTCAGTTCCCATCACCACCTCCCGTATTATTTGCATCACATTTGTGTCTCTGGATGTTCTTGTTCATGGCTTCCTCCTTTTCTCATCAACCTCAATTGAAAAAGGTCCTTGACCAGATACCCTTAAAGGAGCAGGCACTCTCTTGCCACACACCCTTACACACATCTTTCTCTGTCTCTAGAGGCAGTTGGATGAATCCAACCCTGTGTGCCTAAGCTACTTCATTCAGTAGATCCTCATGCTACTAATGGTTCCTCTCATCAGGAATGATGTCAGCCATTTCTGGAGCTTGTCATATCAGTGACTACTTTGGGACCTGACCTTTAAAAGAGATAACAATCATTTTTGCGCCTAGCCAGATGTTGCTGAGCTCTCTGTGGAAAATAAAAGTACAGTGATTATGAGTTAACTTCTTCATGCTTTGCTTACATAGATTGCATGAACAAGGTACAGTTTCCATGGCTTCAGAGCAATGGGCATGGCATGGTTGTTTCTCTGCTTTCATATTTGTAGTCTATAAATTCAGAGAGCAAGCCCCCAAAAACTTCTGGGCTGAAAATGTCCACTCAGCATGTGCACCACCCTCTAAAGTCTATGTTATTTCACAGCCTACTTTGATCTCCTTTTTAGCTATCAAATGCCTCTGCTAACTGCTTGTTATAGTTGTATCTTTATATTTCCTCTTGCGCTCTAGCAGGACATGTGGTGACTGTTTCTCCCCCTACTTTCTGAAAAGCAAATTTGGAGAGTTAATCTACGGGACAGAAGGCAACTGCCAACGTTCTCCTATGAATAGTTCTGCTCCCAGCCCTTGAGAAGTTAACTTGAAGAAGATACTGCATTTGTAGACCTGATGCAGACTAGGGATATTGTGATATCAAGCTTTTTCTTCTGAGCAGTGGAAGGAAAACAGGTCAATGCAGGGAGCTCTGAGCATGCAAAACCAGAGAGCACGGCAATGTTATGACTAATGGTGCCATGTAAGTTCATGATGAATGGTAAATTCTAGTGTATGATCATTTGTTTTCAGAGCTGGTCACCTTGCCTACTCGATGATCTCCCTGCAGGCAGGGAACTTCTGACATGTGATTACGATATATAATTGCAGAACAAGTCCAGAAACATCCTTGGATTTGGAGCTCTGTTTTCAGGAAAGCTGGTATTTCTGCACCTGGACACTGCTTCTTGTATGTGCTTTTTAGGGTTTGCTAAGCTGTTGAAATAGTCTTCAGCAAAATACTTTTTCTCATGGCAATGCAGTTTTCAGTAAGTGCCCACCAGGCCTGCTGACTCACGCTCTCTTGACTTTGTGGTTTGTGGTGGTATTTTGGAAAACTTGATTCTGAAATGTCTGGCAAAGCTGCATGAATTTGTTGACACACTTTTTTTTCTTCTACATACAGACCCTAATATGGTCAATGCAGGAGACATGAATGGTTCTGGCAACCTGATGGATTTTCTGGATGAGCCTTTCCCTGATGTTGGGACTTACGAAGATTTCCACACCATTGACTGGCTGCGGGAGAAATCACGCGACACTGACCGCCATAGAAAGGTAAAGGTGTTTGGCTTTGAGGCATCGCAGTCCCTGGGTTACAGCCATCATGATGGTGAGAAAAACAAGCTGTTTTCCAAAGTTATTGCTTCCTACCTTGTTGTGTGACTTGAGAAGAACATCTAAAAATGGATGCGCTATGTCTTGAGTTTGTAAATATAAAAGGGCTCCCAGTAACTTAATCAGCAGAGCATGTCTAAAAAATAATTGAGACTAGGGGGAGTAGAGAGCAGAGAAATTGTATACACCTTCTATGAGGTGAAATATTTTTTATTTTAAACATTATGCACTAAAACTGTGTTTGCCTGAATCAGCAACATGTCTATATATATGCTTAATTTCAGATTACAAGCAAAAGTAAGGAATCCATATGGGAGTTCATCAAGAGTTTGCTGGATGCCTGGTCAGGATGGGTTGTAATGCTTCTCATAGGACTACTGGCAGGTATGTGTGTGTGACTGTCACAGGTATGCCTGAAAACATTTCACCCAAGGTTGCTGCAGTGCCATCTGCTTCTCTTTTTACTTCATTGTCTCTCCACTGATGTTTTAAGCTAAAAAGTCAGCTATGCACCCAAGCAGTTATAATCCTTAATAAAAATACCCGCTTGCAAAGTCTCCTGCTGAGTGCTGACCTAGAAAAAATGCTATTCACCAGTAGAGGGATTTTTCTATTGCTTTTGGAAATGCACATCTGAGCGCTTTACACTCGATGGACTACTTTGACTTTCCGAATCTTTGATTCACAGAAGTCAATTTTATTGGTAGGATTTTTTTTTTCTTGTCTTCGCTTTAATTTTGCAAGTAGGTGTTATGATGTGAAGAAATGTTGGTTGTGGACACTCAAAGGGGAGCTTTGTAAATTGCTATATCCACTGGCGTATCTACTTTATACATGCTTGAAGGGAAAATAGAGTTTCAGACTCAGTTTCAGATCTGCTTCCAGGCCAGACAGACATTACACATTTAATAGCCTGCTTAAACTCAGAGGGCAAATTCATTAATTTCCTGAATTGCTCCTGTCTTTTGCTTAGTTTAGCACATCTTCCAGCTTGGAAAGCTGCACTTCTCTTACCAAGTTGAAACAGCTGCCATTTTTTATGCTTTTTCAGTGATGCCAGGGTGCTCTTGTATCAAGCATGCATGATGCAAAGTTTCACAGTTTCCAAGTGGTGTGAAGTTCCTGCTTACCAACTGTCAAGTTAGTATGTTTATTGCAGTTGTTCAGGAGCCTCAGAAGTACTGGGAAATTTTTTGAGAAAATGTTGCTGAAGGGACATTTTTGTCCAATTATGTTATTTTGTAGACATACATTTGTTTCCACAAAAGCTTTGACGGGAGGGTGAGATGGGAAGAGA